AATTTGGACTTAAAAATGAACTTTTTAGATCTTGGGTTCCATATGAAAGTTCTAGGCCTATGTATTACCTTTCCATCCATATAAAGTACACCTAAATCTGAGATCTACAGCTCCATATATGACCCAATTACCGAACAGTGTTCCGGTTTAGATTGCACCGACATCTCTTTTCAAAGTTTGGCCATCTCTTTGTCCTTTCAATTTCAGTTCTTAAATTCATCAATCAATCCTTTCATTTATGTGATAGGCCTGCATTTAAAATGAACATTTACCACAAATTAAAGGTATCTTATATTATTAGATATATTATTATAAAACATGCTTTAGTTGAGGAGTTATTGATACTTCAAGTGCAAAATGATGATATAAAACCATGATAAAAATGCACTTTTAAGTACTAATCACACCCCCCAACCAGCTTATTACTAGTCCCTAGTAATCAAAGCGTTAAAACAATTTGCAAATTTCACAAAGCAAGGTATTCATCATTTAACTTCCATTAATACTAGTCTCTAGTAATCAAAGCGTTAAAATAGAAAAACAATTTGTAAATTCCACAAAGCAAGGTATTCATCATTCAACTTCCATTAATCTATCTAGATAAACAAACTCTTATTAAATTTATATATCTGTTTAATACCTCTTAACAAGATATTAATAAACCTTTCTTTTGTGCTCAATATATCAACACATAATTATGGGGCTTTTCTTGGAAGAAAACAAAAATTTCGTTCTAATGTTTAAGGTTAACTTCCTTGGGTTAGGATTATTATTTTTATCTTTTTTTATTATTTTTTTAATATATATACATATAACTTAAAACACCATGTATCTTTAACCCATGTAATGAGCTTTCGGGTAATGACTCCCAGACCAGTTGGTCTTAGGGCATTAGGTGTTGAGACACCCCTACGAGCTTAGTAACTCGGGTCACAGATACTGATATGTAGATAGTGCAATGTTTGATTCCTTTAAGCTTTTCTCCTCAACCCAGATAACTTCCAAGTCAGTTGACTTTAGGGTATTAGGTGTTAAAGCACCCCTTCAGATTTAATTGCTTAGGTTAGGGAGGCTACGAAACCAAACTTATCTATATTTTTATTGTGATCATTTTTTTTTGCTCTTTTTTTTTATATAAATTATATATTATTTCTTTCTCTTAGTTGTTACCTTTAACAAAAGAACATAAATAATATAATAATCCATTGTGCAACCCATAATCATATGTTAAAGTGTGTGTGTGTAAATTAAGATTTAAGAATACATGTTAAATGAGTATATGAGCAGAATTAAGTGATAGTAATGTGAGAATTTGTAAACTTGAATATTTCAATAAGCATTATGATAGCCCTTATTACAAATAGTTACTAAGATGTGTCTCAAGAGTCATAAAAAGTTCTCCTTACTCTTCCATCATAGTAATAACAATTTTGCACATGCTTTATGAAATAGAAAATACAGTTAGTTATTTTTTTAAGCTATTACCCTCTCCCCCCAACCAAAACGAGACATTGTCCTCAATGTTCTAAGGTAGAAAGATATAGTATAGAAAATATCACTTGAAATAACGAACATTGACAAACCTGAAACACACTGAAACAAATATAAGTAACAACAAAACACAATAATAAAACCAAAAGACACAAAGATTCACAAATGAAGGCTCAAATCCAATCTAAGCTTTTTACGGCTTTCTTTAGTTGACCAATTTATACGACTCATAGAAGGATCAATTACAGGAATGAAAGATTGTAGTTGGTCAATCAATTGTTCAGCAGTAGCAGCAGAGATTATGATTTGTAGTGCAGAAGATGTTAGAAATTTCTGTTCGACAGCATGATCAAGAAAAGACAACAACTTATCATAATAACCATTAACATTTAACAAACCTATGGGTTTATGATGAATGTGCAGTTGGGCCTAAGAGGAAATATGAAAGATCTCTTCTAATGTGCCTAGACCACCTGGTAAGGCAATGAAGGCATCAGCATGGTTAAACATTGCATTCATTCGAGCAAACATTGTGGAGACCTGTAGTTCCTCTCCAATTGTTTTTCCAATGATGTTCCTTTGTGCCAAAGTTTCAGGGACGACCCCTAAAACTTGACTACCTCTTAAAAATACAGTTATTGACACACCTCCCATTAACCCAAGATTGCCTCCCCTATACACTAAATAAATCTTTCTCTCAGCTAGCACCTGACCAAGATGATTTACTGATTCTAAAAACTCATTTTCTTTACCAAGACTAGATCCACCGAAAACACAAATATTTCTTATATGATGACCTGAGGAATTTGCCATTTCTACACACTTCTGTATTTGTTGAATGTATAGGTTAAGTAGAAATGAAAGGAAGGAAGAAAGGATTTTATAGATGAGAAATTAGAAAGGCAATCATACCACCTATATGTAGGCCTGCTGGAGTCTCACACACACACTCTCTTTATTTATTTATTTGTTTATTTACTTTTGAAAAAGCATGTGTATGTACAAGTAGTTGTGATTGTGGCTCACATCTTCCCTTATTTTTATGTCCAAAAACGGCTTAAACACCTTCTATGGGTCGGGGATAGGCATCCCATGCAGTTTTCTTAAAAACTGGCAAACATGGTCTTTTTTAGTCAGATTCCCAAGACTAAGTCGATCATATTTTTTATGAAATAGTGGCCATCAATCATGAATTGCACGATACACATCTCCACTAGGATGTGTCTCAAGAGTCAATATAAGATTATCTAAAGACTCCTTACTCAGGCCATCCTAGAAGATAAGGATTGTCATCAAGTCAAGAGTTGGCCACCCACTCATCAATTAGTCATCAAATCAATAGTTCCTAATTTTGGCCTATAAAAGGAGGCATTTGCCATGCATTTAGGCATCTTGGTGTCCAGATCAAGATCATGCTCTTGCTTTCTCTCTTTGTATTTTTTGTAATGTTTATGTTTTGCTTTCATTAATATCAAGTTTATGCCTTTAATTTCCTTTCCTTTACTTAGTTAACTTTTATCTTATTTATGTTCTTATTTTGTTTATTTATTTTTCTTTCTTTCATTATGTCTAGCTAAGTTTATTATGTGAAGGTGAAAAGGTTACACTAATGGTGTAAGAATAAGTATAGTGTAAACTTAATATGGACTTTAATGTTTCATACTAACATGTTTTGTATTTGTTATCTTGTTCACTCTTTAATACTTTGCTTGTTAAATGACTAATCTTGATTTATGTTGTATAACACTTCGTACAACAAATGCTTGGCACTTTCATAGTTCATACTGTATGGTATAACCGACACCTGAGCTATAAAAGGAACTTGATTTGTTGTTACCGACACCTGAGTTATGAAAGGAACTTGATTTGTTGTTAACATAAGTTATAATCATGAATGCTTGACGAGATTTACAAGTACTAGCATTAATCGAATAAGATGACTAATGTAATCATGTTAATAATCTATAATCTGATTGGAACCTCTTTTGTGTATGGTTTCCAATTGAATAATAAGAGTTTATACTATACTTGTTTGACATACCATTAGTGGAACATCTAACCTTGATATTTGTTATTATTATTGTTTAATCCTTACATTAATTTTCCATCTCCAAGTTCTTATCATCTTCTTCTTCTTCTCTTTCTTTATTATTATTATTACTATTATTACTACTACTATTA